TCGGATCGCAACATGATCCGCACGGTGCGCAGGTTGCTGAACCAACCTAAGATCAATGCTAGAGACGGGAGAATGCGCGCTGTGCATTGTCTCGAGGTCTGCGCACGCAATCGGTCATACATAACGTTCGAGTACGATCGACCATCGCCTGCATCCGCACAGGATCATGCGAGTAGACAGCCTGCGACGCGACAGACATTGGTAGCGCGCGCGTGTAGCCTGTGTGGACGAGGCAACCCCTCTTTCTATTGATCGCCGTCCTCGTGTACGTCACAACCGCACTGTACTCATGTTCCACAGCTTCTACATCGATACGATCAACAACTGTATTGGAACAGTCAAGTATAGCACTGGCATTGGGCGATGAGGAGAGTTGCGGTCGAGATGCACGCTGGTTGCAGAGCGTGCAGACCGCAAGACCGAGATCCGAAGGTATGTGGTCAAGGGCTTAATGAGATGCTCGCTGTGACTGATCAGGCAGCGACCATCAACAATAGGTAGAACCACGTCTGCATCATGTCAGCAGTAAGTCTTTACGAACCTTGTGCGAGCCTCTTCATTTCACGTCTTACATATAAGTGAAGGCCTTGCGTATTGCTCAGTGCGAGGAAGTCTCCTCTCGGCACTGACACACGAGGCTCATTATGTCTGCCCATAGATCATATACGCCGAACGCAACCTGTTGCTATCCTGGCTGTCACAAAGGCGCGTGGCAGAATCCTGACGGCTCGTATTCCTCCTTCTGCTCCAAGAAACATAGGGATACCATGCAACAATCCAATGGGCCCAGCCCCAGCGTAGGCGGCGCGAAGCTCTGCAAGGTGCGTGGAGCTCCGATGTATTCCTTTCACGGTGTTCAAAACGTCTTTGAACCTCACTATATAATAGAATTGTCATTTGCGCCCGGTGTATGTCGACGCTAATCGCAGTATGTGGGGTGTCATATAATTCCACGCCGGAGTCGCTCAAACGATGTCTGTGACGTAGTGCACGAATTTTGTGGCAATCGTTGCCATGATGCCTTCCAGGGGGTATCAGAGGAGCCCAAGGGATTGTCCGCGCCGGCATCTGCAAGCTCCCGGGATGCCAGAAACCGGTCTACGTAGGGCCTAACGGCAAGCCAAGTGACTACTGTTCTAGGTCGCATCACGCGTAAGAAGCCATAACACACTAATGATCTGTAACATTGAACATTCGGTCATATAGCCAGGGCGTGGAGTTGTGTCTCCTGTAATTGTCTCATGCTTACCAGTGCACCGTGGACGTGGTGCTCATTGCCCACGGCGTCTTTAGGTGCCGGCAGCGGCCCAAGGTCATCATTAACGGGAAGATGAGCGACTTCTGCTCCAACCGCTGCAAGGACGATACATTTGGCTCGAGTGAGGCGTTTCGTTGTCATAGACTTTCCGATCGCACCGCACTGACGGTCTTTGGCAGCTCCTGTCATTTTGAACATAAGCCCGGACATGGCATCCTTCCAAGACGGTAAATCCCTTTCGTGATCTTGGCACGACGCCTTGTCGACTTGCCCTTCTTTATTTGCAGTCTCGAAGCAGTTCACCGATCAATGGAAGCACTCCACGACCAAACCTGCCATAGTCAAGGCGGGTGTCTACATTTTCAGGCTGTCCAAAGACGATTGCTCAATGAATGTCTTCAATAGATATGGAAGGTCTACTGCCATAAGTCCCACACTGACGCGTTTATGTCGTATAAGCGTCATGTCGAACGTAACACCCACATTACCGGGGGAAATAGTAGGCGGAGGTGGCACGGCACGACCCGAACCTGCACGATCGGCGACTCTGAGAACAAGGGTGCTCTTTGCAAAGATGCCAAGTGTTCAATTTGCAGGATAATTGAGGTTCGTCGTGTCTTGTTTTATACCTCGTCGTCTCACTCGCGCTGACGGTAGTGCGACAGTTCTCCTTCCACAAAGGCAACGTGGGTGTATTTGGCCCAGGGATATACACTTCTGCAACATCGTCGAATTCGAACGCCTATGTCAAGAATTTAGGCGGCTCACCGTACAAGGCGATGTTGCTCAACGACGTTGTGTTGGGTAAGACGATCAAGATGACGAACTCAAGCACATCCTTGACCGAGGTGCGTATGCAATACTCTGATGCTGACGCAGCCTCAGGCTTTGCGTGATACCGATATTCCTTAGCCACCGCACGGCTACAATTCTGTCATCGGCGAGCCTGCCAGCGGTAGATTGGATTATGATGAAGCTGTTGGTGAGTACTTCGCCGCTATCCACAATCCACGTGCGTTGATGCGGAGATGTACAATGTCCTTGTAGTCTACAGGGTGAGCTTCTACACGTCGGTGACGACTCGCTCTGACTCTACATGCTATGGCAGAACGACGCCATTAGGCCACTGTTCTTGATCATCTACAATGGCTGATTTTCACAATTGCATTCGCTTCGCTTCCGTATAGCTCTATCAGGGTCCCGTATTCTGTCATCTCCCAGCTCTAGTTTGTCAATCTTGGCTTTGTATGAACTGGTTCCTTGGCACTGGCATGGCACGGTGTATGTAGGTCTGCAGCTCATAGATCGATGTCGTGACACTTCTTCGTCGAGTCTACACTTGCGTATCATCGTTAGCTAGTTCGGTCCAGTACTAACTCAATGGTGACGACCTCACTGCAGGGAACGGTCAAGTCCGCTGCCCACGCACAATGGCTATATATTCGACGTCAGTTATTCTGAATCGCAGCATCAACTTGAGTGCTGTGATTGGCAGAGGCTTGTACCATCGATGATCCCTGAGGCGCAGGTCGCAATCGTTATAGCTGTTGTTGAGCTGCAAACCTCGACGCCCCGAGACTATGATCCGTAGCACAAATTCAAAAAGCAGCTCAACGGACATTTGTCGCTTCAACGTGTGCTCATTTCCCCTTCTGTACAATACCTTATACGAGATCATAATGCCTTCCTGATCTGTTAGACGGTCGCTTGCCTCCGTCCACCCCTATGCTATCTCTCCGACACCATGCGTTGTGGGAGGTTGTGAGTCTGAAGGCTTTGGAGGACGACCCGAGGTGCGACTCATTACTATGCCTGGGCTTCGACTGTAACGGCGTGCTGAAGGTGGGTCATGAAGGGGATCTCGTCGTCTCTGGAGACGGTGTTCACCGTAGGCCTTCTTGTCCGTCAGAATCTATCAAGGAGTTGAGCCATAGTCGTGCGTAAATGACAAGGGAGTTGCCGAGCTTCATGGCAAGCCAATCCCGTACGCGGGCCTGTAGTCGCAGGGACGGGTGCAAAGAAACCTAGTACGAACCTGAATTGTGTACGATCATACGAGTGACGCGTTCTAAGCGTGGCAACCCGTGAGATAGCTGCTATCGCTTCAGATACAAAAGATACAATTATAAACGAGGTCGATGATAAACAGATGCTCAGACACAAACCAATAGCACAGATTATTCCAGGCCTCAATGACTATGCGTAGCTTGGCGCGCAATCGCATGAGAGCCTTTCCGAGCTCATTTCGTCCCCGACCATCATGGCCCCAGCCCCAAAAGGAGTCGACCTGTTCACTGTATGAACACCAAAGCACCGTATCGCACTGCGCGCAAGACACACACCGGACTGTCCTCGATAAGTTTGCTCTCCCCCGTGCCGAGGAGCATGTCTCTCAGTTCCGGATGCTGCGTGAACTTCGCCTCGAGAATCGCGTCCATGACACTGATATTGACGTCAAACCAGTCTGTGCGTTGTAGCCTACGCAGGCGGCCCGCTTCATCGAGTGCGGCGCGTGGGCTCGGGAGGCCGCGGATCCGGTCGGCCAAGTCTGGTCGGGTGATCATGAACTTGTGCGCTTGGAACACTGGGTGTCATGCATCATGCATCAGTGGCCGGGTTGGATACAATGCAGGCGGTCGCAGAAGACGTACGGTGCTCTGCGGTCGGGTATGTGTTACCATCGCGCCAGCGAATGTCCCATGGGGCGAAGTTCGTAAATCTGACAGACAGAGTGCATGAGTCTTGGTGGGCAGCTTAGCCATAGCTTCAACGATACGCACTCGTAGTATGGATCACGACGGTGGTAGAAAAGAATGGGATACGGTGCCGAGTCCGAAGGAGGTGGCTGGGCGCGAGAGCGCCGGCGCGTCCGGTGGCGCGACGACGGTGTCGAGGGAACCACTTCGCCGACAAGACGACCTGCTTGAACATCGACGTCTAGCCCTCGCAACAACGCTCACCTGGCGGGTCTGATACGCCCACATTCCTGAGATTGTATGATCGCTCTTCTTGGTGGTGTCTCCGAGGTTCTGAGGTCGTTCTGCGCCGACGGTGCCATAGTCGATCCTGGTGGTCTGGCCGCTCCACGCACGGGACAATCCAAAACACGATAAACATAGTAACAAGGAGTGTCGCTGCAGCAGCTTCCAGTGACATGATGGAGGTCAGAAGAGGTGGCTTACCTGGGGGCGTGGATGGCGTGCGGAGAATAGGTGACGCTGCGACTCTTCTTGCCTACTATTAAACCTTATCAATATCAGTGTCTGTGGTCGGAACATAAGCCTCGTGCATGCATACACGGAAGCCGTTGTATTGGCTCCCTATCCTGGCCCGCAAGAAAGTGACCCGGCACATCACGCGCGGACCACTTATGTGGCTGAATCCTCGTGGGTCGTACTCATCATGCCATGACTGCTGAACCATACGTAGGTCTTCCAGGCATATATGCATGGATATTTACTGATGCGTTTCGACAGATACCAGTCCAATACTAGTCCGTGACAATAAACCACAGCGATACGAGGGCAGCCGCATATTAAGGCATACGATTGCTTTTCCTGGTGCTTGTCCACGCGAGGATCCGAAGACCATTTTGCGCAGAGGATACGATGCTCGACCCCTATTATCAGGATATTCCGTGCTTGTAACAAAGCAATAGGCCCATAGCGAGAGCTGTCCCTGCAGCAGCTTCCAATGACATGCTGGAGGTGAGGAGGAATGGCTTGGTTATGCGGGGGCGTAGAGGAGGTGCGGAGATTTGCTGGATGCCTACTGTGCGAGGTATTTACCGCTGTAGGTCTATGTGCCCACCCTTAACCTTTTCATTTCAGTACTTGTCCGCGATTGTGTTATCTCGTCCATAAGTACGCAGACGATGCCTTGTTGGTCACCAGTCACCATCCAAGTCCACTCGAAGGTATCTCAACACGTCACGCGCTGAACCCTGCGTGGTTGAATTCTCTGCGGCTGTCTACCAGCAAGTGCGCTTACGGCGGCGTGTGTCCTACCCAATGTTCCAGGCACACAAATTCGTGCCAGACCAGCCGGACCTGGCGGAGTGCATCCACCTGCTCTCCCGATCCCGCGACGCTCTTCAGGAAGCGGAGAACTTGTGCGGGCTGCAGTGCGCGGACTGGTTCGACGTCAACATCCGGGGAATGGACGATGTCCTCGAGGCGAAGTTCGCGCAGCACCTGTCGCTGCGTGGCATGCTCTTCAAGACCGGCAACAACCAGCTGATCGAAGACAGCCCGGTACGTACGCAAGAGCGTCGCTCGCGCGTCACTGCGTCGTCCGGACGCTGATTACTCCACCACGTTGACTCGTTCTGGGGATGTGTCCTTGAGCTAGGGAAGGCGCCGATGCGACCGCACGCTAGGCTAAGAGCTTGTCCAGCTTCCGCAGGTGACCAGTTCATATGGACGTCTCCTCCGCCGAACCGAACAGCTCGCTCAGAAGGGCAATCGCCATTTTCTGAGTCGACGAGCGCACAGATGAGCCGAGGAAGAACATACGATCGACCGTCGCCTGTATCTGCTCATGCTCAAGAAGGTAGACAGCCCTTGCGGCATCGCACGAGAGGCATCAGTAGGCCACTACAAGTCCTTCCTTGACAGCTAGCACAAGCTCGTTTGGTGAGTACGTATGGCGCATGCTTAATGGGCCACTCAATATGACTCCAGGAAGACATGTGCCTGCGACCGCTCGCTTTGACGTCGCACGATGGGTGCGTGTGTCTGACCCATGCAACGCGCCATGGTTGATAAGTACCTCTGAAGTCGGGCAGCCTCGCGGAATCTTCAGCGAGGCAACAAAGTTCAATAGAGGTATTCGTCTTTGAGTTTGGTGCGGACATACGTGCGAAGGTTCTTGACACGCGTTCCCACTTCTCTCCTCAACGCAGCACCCGGAGTTGTCGCCGACTCGTGCCACCGCCACTCGGGTACTGCTGGCAGCTGCCCTATCTCAACGGTACGCTTTCTCTTCTGGTACCTTGTCGGTTTTATTCAATGAGATATCTAGGGTCCCCTGAAGCGATGAAGCGATTCACCCCGATTGATAAATGTCGATTCTCTGTTTCCCAGCGCGGTCCCCAGTCGACGTCGGTGTGACACAGACAGGACTTACTGGCTCGATTGGCTGTGTGTTCCCTGGAGGTATTTCGAAGGCAGCCACTGACATCGGTGAGAGCTCGAGGCGGAAGGCCGAACGACACGTAATGAGGGCTAGTGCGCCTCTGATGTCGCTGTCAGTTCAGGGGTGTCCACACTCGAGCTGAGGCTACGGGCGAGTAAGGAACGTGGGGTAGATCTCATCCTTAGTTGTGTCCTCCGTTCGCTGAAGCATACCCGGGCGGTTTCACCAGACATTAATATGGCGCATACGTTATCTATGTGACCGGAGGGACCCCAAAACTTCTCGTGATCGCCGTCCTCATGTACATTGCAATTGCCCTCCATCGTGTGTTCTGGCATCTGCATCGATAAGACCCAAAGAAGTCAAACATGGGATCGGCGGTGGGCGACGAAGGGAATTGTGGTCCAGATACACGTTCAATCTGAACACATGAGCGCGGCGATCACAGGATAGAGTTTCGAAGGCGTGTTGGATGAATGAGACGCCCACTGTCTGGTCCAGAAAAGACTGTCGACGTGAAGTCCAACCTTGAAGAGGTCGATCTGTGTTCGAACTCATAAGTTATATCAGCAGTCTCGTAAGTCCCTTCTAACATATGTTGTACGGGCGTATTCTTTGTGCGCCCTACATATAAGTGCAAGCCCTACGCCTTCAAGCTCGGCGCGAGAAGGTCTTCCTCGATCACCGACAGACCAGGCTGGCTATGTGTGCCCAAATATTGCCCGCGCAAAACGCAACCTGTCGCTATCCTGGCTGTCACAAAGGCACATGGCAGAATCCTGATGGCTCGTACTCCCCTTTCTGCTCACAGAAGCATAGGGACGCTATGCAACAGTCCAATGGACACAGTCCTAGTGTAGGCGGCGCGAAGCTTTGCAAGGTGCATGGAGCCGCGGTGTATTTCACGGCGTTCAATACGTCTCTGAACTTGTACAATTTACAGAATTGCCACTCACGCCCGGTGTATGTCGACGCCAATCGCAGTACGTGGGTATTTGTATGACTTCGTAGCATTCTCACATCTGTCCGTCCCTATCGCGCTCAGCGCACGACTTCTGTGGCCAGCGTTGCAGCGCACAATACCAGGCAGGGGAGGAACACAGAAAAGGCTCTGCAAGGTACGTGGGAACAATGTGATTATCATTTTGCGCACTGACTGACTTCATCTTCTAGAACTGTCACTCGCGACCTGTGTATGTCGATAGAAATGGCAGTCAGTGGGTTCTCATACGATGACACCGATGTTACTCAACCTGTGTCTGTCATTGCAGCGCACGAATTTTGCGGCAAGCGTTGCCGGGACTCCTTCCAAGCAGGCGTCGGGGGAGCTCAAGGTAATCGGCGTGCTGGCATCTGTAAGCTCTCGGGATGCCAGAAACCTGTCTACGTAGGACCCGATGGCGTGTCGAGCGATTACTACTCTAGAGCGCATCGCAGGTACAGAAGCGCATCGTTATCATTCCTGTGACCTCACACTGAATCCTCTACTATTGTACAGTCAGGATGTAGAAGACGACGACGAGTTATGCCTCCTGTATCCATCTCATGCCAGTCTGATTTATCGCCATATGCTCATTGTCTTTAGGTGCGAGCAACGGCCCAAGGCCACAATCAACGGGAAATTGAGTGATTTCTGCTCGAATAATTGTAAAGAAGACACATTTGACTCGGGAAAGTCACACTCCTGTTACTTTATGTAAATCGTACAGCCATGCTAAAATGAATGCTTACCGCAGCTCCCATCATCTTGAATGTTACCGAGAAGACGAAGACCTTCCAGGAAGGTGACTCCGTTTTGATACGATATCATGATATGTTCTCACTATGCTCTCATCATACAGTAGCGAAACAGTTCACAGATCAGTGGAAGCACCCCTCCTTCCGTATTCCTACGGTAGTCAAGGCGAGCGAACTCCACTTACCAACAGGCGATTGCTCACATCAATGTATCCTTGACTTCACAGATATGGAAGATCTACTGTGACAAAGATCACGCCGACCAGTTCATGACATACAAGCACAACGTCGATCGCAGGACCGGCATCGCTGGGGGAAATAGCAGGCGACGTTGGCACGGCACAATCCGGACTTGTACCATCGGCGATAGCGGTAAAGACTTCAGTCTATGCAAGGACCCCAATTGCTCGCTTTGCAGCATTATCACTGTACGTTGTCTCTCACCGTCGATGCTTATCGTGCCCTCGCTGATGTCTACGACACCACATTTGAAGACGTCCTTCCGCATCGTCAGAGCTGGCCAACGCACGAACTTTGGCCGCTTCGGGGCAGGGATATATACCTCTGCGACATCGTCGAAATCGCATGACTACGCTCAACAGCTAGGCGGCGGCTCGAAGTACAAGGCGATGCTACTGACCGACGTCGTGATGGGCAAGACGATTAAGCTGACAACAGGAGACCCATCCTTGACTGAGGTGAGCATGCGATACTATGATGCTGATGCCGCCTTTAGGTCACTGTACTGAGACAATGCGGTATTCACTAGCCACCGCATGGCTACGATTCGGTCGTCGGCGAGCCTGGCGGTGATTTGAACCACGATGAAGCGATTGGTGAGTACTTAGTTGCTGCCCATGATATGCTTGCGCTGACGCGGAGACGTACGATGTCTCTGTCTTGTAGTCTACAGGGTAAGGTTCTACGTATGGCGAGCGTCCT